AAGGGGAAAAACAACGCACAACATGACACCTAATTTCTCCTCCAATCTATCTGTAATAATCTCCTTCTCTTAGGGTTTTCCAGCTTGTTCTTTCTCAGTATTGCGCCGGAGAAAGATTCATAGAATCCGTCCATTTTTGGCAGAGACATTGTTTTAATACGACCTCTTCTGCTGCCAATTTTCTAGGGTTTTCTGACATCGTTGTTGCAGCTCCAAAATCCTATTTGTAGCTATGAAATTTGTCCGACATTCCTCAGCGAAATGAAGGATTACGTGATTTTTCTTTCAGATTCAACCTCTGGCCCTGTTCCTGCTATTTGAATTTCTTTTCACGGGTTGGAAATTGTAAATAATGAAAATGCCGGGGCATAAATCGAAACCAGAGAAAGGCGATTCGGAGAAGCAGCTGCGGAGGGACCCTTATGAGGTGTTGGGAGTGAACAGGAATTCCACTGATCAGGAAATTAAGAGCGCCTATCGGAAATTGGCCCTAAAGTATGCCTTATTTAGTTTTCAGTTTGATTGCTATTCAAAGTCTGCAGTACTTTTATTTTTTTTTCTTATTGAGTTATACACCGCAGTAGACTTGTATTTGGCTATTTTCATTGTGGTGTTGCTATTAGTTTTTAGCACTAGTTATCTTCTTACGATGATATAAATGTGTTATGAGAGATGGAAAATAGTGGATCCGAATTTTTTTGATTATTTTATTTCAATTTGATAAATTGTGCTCTGTTTTAAGTGGTTTTAGGACTAAATTTGATGGTTTTGAAGTACCAGATTGTGCAAGCATTTCTTTTTACAGGTTTTAATTTTGATTTTGCGTAGTTTAGCTGTAGAATGAGAGCGGAAGAATGTAGAAATAAAATGTTTAGCTGATTCCAAAGGAATGAAAGCTCTGGTACCTTCCTAGTTTGTAGACTTTGTTCCTCTTGTTGGAAATAGGAACATATTTATCTTGTTTCTGACAAACTTTAGTGGGGAAGTGTGCAAGCTGTTTTGGTTTAGCTATTGGCATACAATAAGAACCGACAATTGTAAGTTGAAAATTGAGTCGACTTGAACAGCCTGTCTTAAACAGCAAAAATAATAAATTCTGGAATCTCTCTCTACTTATTCATAGCTCTCTTATATTGATATGATTCTGCAAATGGCAAACTTCATCGGGGTCCTTCCTTGTGTTGTGTCTACAAATATGTGTCTGTGCCCGAGCACGTTGTAAAAGGGTATTTTTGTTTGTTGCTAATCCTTATTTTACATAATTGCAGGTATCATCCTGACAAAAATGCAAACGATACTAAAGCCACAGATATGTTCAAAGAGGTCACCTTCTCGTATAACATTTTGTCTGATCCAGATAAAAGGCGGCAATATGATGCGGCTGGTTTTGAGGTCAATGTTTGGCTTTTTATTTTTTATTTTTTTTTTTAATTAATGTAGCTTACCAACTGTCTTCAGATTATTTTTGCATGGTTTCAAACTTGAACATAAATCTTTTGTCAGGCTGTTGAATCTGAAAGCCAGGAACTGGAGCTTGATCTTTCAAGTTTAGGAACTGTCAATACTATGTTTGCTGCAATCTTTAGGTTGGTTCGTAATGCTTTTCAGTACAATTTATCGAACAGCCATTCAACCGACGATGCTTTATGGATCCGAGTGCTAGGCTACTAAATATGAAAATAATCAAAAAAATTATTTGAAATATTTAAATCTGAATGAGGATATGTGCGTTGATCAAGCACGACGACATGTGATCCATATAGCCGACCCCAATTAGTGGGATTTTTAACGGCTTCTTGATTGATTGATTGATTTTACCAGAGTATTCATATTCCATAAAATAAGTTTACTATGTCTTAACAATCAGCAAGCTTGGAGTCCCGATAAAAACTACAGTTTCAGCCACTGTCTTGGAGGAAGCATTAAATGGTTCTGTGACAGTTCGTGAGCTCCCATTTGGGCAACCTCTGTGTAGGAAGGTAAAAGTTTGAGCCTATGCTATAAATATGCGGTTTTCCAACATATGGTAGATTTAGACAATTTTTTCATGTTAGGTAGGAATTAAAAGTTTGAGGCTATGCTCTTAGCATGCGATTGTCCAACATATGACAGATTTAGACAAATATTTCATGCTCTGTAACAGGTGGATAAGCAGAGTGCCCACTTCTACTCTGTTACTGTATCAGAAGAGGATGCACACGCTGGAGTTGTTTGCAGAGTTTATTCGTCCGACAAAAGCAAGTTTAAGGTATGCATATTTGAGAGAGGTTGATGACTTTATACTGCGTCTTCTATTCTGGCTCGTAAAGAATAACAATTTCCAGAATGGATGTGGAATTGTGTTTCTGTCTATTGGTTGGTGACCTCTTATTTGGGCATGATAGCTTGGGGATATTGCGTGGAGGAACTACATTACTTACTAAGAGCATCTCCAATCTTAAACTGCTGACATTTAAAAATTTATACCATAAGGCGATGAATAAATGGACTGTGAATCCAAATCACATGAATGTTCACCACATTCATGGTGAGAACCCCGCTACTCTCTCCAGTACACCATTTCCTACAACCAATGTTTTGTTCATGTGGGAAATGTTTTTAAACTAAATACGAGATGGTTTTGAAACAGTGTTATAAAATGGCGGCCATGGCGTGGCGGATTTCTGCCAAACCGCCATGCTAAATTTGGGAAGACGGCAGCGCCATAGGCCGCCACTGTGGGATTTTGGCCTGCCGCCATTTTCTGTCATCCGCCATCGGCAAACACTCTTTTGAAAAGAGAAAAATTAAAATCTGATCGACTGGGAAGCTGATATCTTCTCCATTTTCATCAACAGAACCCAATCTTCATACTTCTAGTTTTACTTTTTTTCTGTTACTATAGTAAAAGTAGAAAAACATATATTCCCAATTTGCACTACTTAATTGTTTAAGAAAAACTGAAAATTTATCATTACCTGCATTCAGTGACGGTGATGGGAATGAACAAGATTTCTATATTATAAAGAACTAATTTGGATATGCACAAATTAGTGGCTATTTGTTTGCCCCAGCTTCTCACCGATCTCTGGATCTTACAAATTGTGGCCATTTTTATAACTTTTTAGCTGTTTCCTGCAATTTGATAAGTCATCCTGTTGAACTGACTTTCACGTGCAAACAGAGGACTCAACAAGGCAAATATAATGTTGTCTAAGTAATGATTATTTTCATGCATGCTACATCACTATGATTGCTGGGGGATTATCTTTTCTGCACTTTATTGGGCTAGTTGACAAAGTAACTGTTAGTTCATTGTCGACTAGCCAAAATTAGGTTAATTAGAATTACACAACAATTAGTGAAGTTTCTTCTAGATCAAAATGGCTCAATCAAAATGGCTCAATTAAATTCTAGTGCTTCTTCTATTAGTGAAGTTTTTAGAAAAAAAATATATCAAACGGCGCAATGCACCTTGGTCGTTACGGAAACAGCCTCCTTGTATAATTACAAGGGTAAGGTCTGCGTACAACTGACCCCTCAGACCCCAACCTGTTGGGAATATACGGGGTATGTTGTTGTTGTTGTTGTTGTTGTAGAATTACACAACAATTGTTTTGTATCATAGATTTTCTTTATTTGCTTTCTAGAAAAGATAATTTACCTCTGCCAATTTTTCTGGCAGTATTGAGTTCTTTAATTGTATTTTGGTTGTACAATATGCCTCCTAATGCTTCAGTTAACCCTTGTTGGGTATGTGCAGCTATTATACTTCGATAAGGAAGATAATGGTGGA